TGGATAAAAAAGCAAACAGTAATTGTCAAAATAGCAGTGAGAGCAGTAGTAGTAGCAGTGGTGACAGTAGTAGTAGTAGTAGTAGTAGTAGTAGTAGTAGTAGTAGTAGTGGTAGTAGTAGGAGTAGCAGCATGGGTCGGAGTAGTAGTAGGAATTGGAGTACGAGTAGCAGTAGGACTAGGAGTACGAGGAGTAGTAGTAGTAGCAGAAGCAGAAGCAGTGGCAGCAGCTGTAGTAGTAGTAGTAGTAGTAGTAGTAGTAGTGGTAGCAGATGTATCAGCGGCGGTAGTAGTGCTACTGGTAGTAGTAGTAGTAGTAGTAGTAGTAGTAGTAGGAGTAGTAGTAGTAGTACTACTAGTAGTAGTAGTAGTAGTAGTAGAAGTAGTAGTAGTAGTAGTAGTAGCAGTGGTAGTAGTAGTAGTAGTAGTAGTAGTAGTAGTAGTAGGGTAGCAGCAGGAGTCGGAGTAGGAGTAGTAGGACTTGGAGAGGGACTACGAGTAGGAGGAGTAGTAGTAGCAGTAGCAGTAGCAGCAGTAGTAGTAATAGTAGTCATAGTAGTAGTAGTAGTAGTAGTAGTAGTAGTAGTAGCAGCAGCACTAGTTTGCGGTAGTGGAAAAAAAGAAGAACAATAGTCCGAACCCAGGAATACTCATAATCACAGGCGTTTTTGCAGCAATTGGCAATTAAAAACAAGAACAGTAACTGCTAGACTCAAAGGTAAAGTTCAAAATGCATGCTGCTGCCTCGGCGAGAAGGAGAGACGTTCGAGCCTCACCACTCTGGTCCTCTCTAGTCAAACGATGTTCAGAGTTTAGGGCTTCGGGCGTAATCGAAGTGCTTGGGTCGATTGTGTCCCTGTCCTCCAGTTCTTGGAACATGGCGAGCGCCTCAGTACCCAGAGACTCCAATACCCCGTAATTAAGGAATATACCTTAAATCATATGAGGGATCCTACCATAACTTAAAGTATACTCCTGAATTAAGGGGTATTGGAGTCTCTGGGTAAGCAAGCAGCACCCGACAGCACGGCATTACTTCAGGGAGGCAAAACCTTCCGGACAATTTCAGTCTCCCTCTCCAGGAATGCATTGGCTAGGCTAGGCCAGGCTGTTGGCGAAGTCGCGCACAGAATCCCGAGATGGTCTGCCCTGAAGGCTCGGATCCTAATAATCATGACCCACGTTGCCCTTGCCAACAGAAGCCCCATCTCGCTCAAGATGCCCAAGCCTCTTGTGCCCTTGACTCGGCGTCTTGCTCATAGCCTGCCTTAGCAACTGTTGTTCTGACTACACCACTGGCGTTGGAAAGTCACGCGTTCCTCCTGTCTCGGGTATACCTGTACAGATCGGAGATGTAAGATGCGGCGAGGGCTGAGCACAAATGAGTTCTCCACCGTGAAGAACATTCTCGCGGCTTCGCGCAAGCAGTTTGCCTCGCACACCCGTGGTCGGGAGCACTTTGGAGTGACACAGAGGCGCTGGCCTCACCCTTCCGATCACCCGCATCATAAAATAGAGCCCGCCTGAGCAAATACGACAGTGTAGGGGGAGCGACGCCGAAAAAGCCATTGATCATCGAGGCTGCGACCACTCATCCGCTGTTCCCACAGCATCTCTGGAGGTAATCTGGATCGCGCAGATGCTGCTTTAAAGCTGGAGAGCTCGTGAGGCAGCAGACTCGCCTGAATCTGCTGCCGGAGGAGCAGTTCCAACACGTCTGCCTTCCAGTGTGAGCACAGTCCATGACATGAAGAATGCTGGAGAAAGCGCTTGCGTCTATATCGTCTATGGCCAGTGAGCTGGTTGGATCAACGCATGCCAAGGTCTGTAGCACCTTGACTCTATCTTTCCAGATCTGTCATGTATCAACGCAATGGTCGGGTCAACGCAATGCCGATGCCTGGCCTCTCCACGCCAGTGCTGCGCCTCGCGGAAAAGGCCTTGTGCCTCATTTAGATGTTGTTCGCACTCCTGGAACGAGCAGCGAGTCTCGACAGATGCAAACAGAGATCGTCGTGTGATGTTCATGTTTCGGACACAGGCTTCAAGCTATTTCCAAGCTTCGCCGCCTGCACCGTGCTACAACAACATCTCGAAAAGTCGCCAAGGCATACTGCCCAGCGGGATCTATTTTTGGGTCCTCCAAGCGCTGCAGGTCCATCTTCACTCGCGCGGTCTGCCATGAGCAGCGTCTCTGAAAGTCCACCCCTTGGGCCGTGACCTGGCCTGACGAAGCAGGGTCGCCTCCGCGACCTTGTCGTCGATGCGTCTTGCCAGCTCAACGCCCTGAATCCAGGCTCGCCCATTTTGCGCAACACGGCTTTGCATTGCTCAACCGCCATTGCTTTCGAATGTTTGCTGTGGACCTGCCTCCTGCAGTGTGGACAGGGCCTTGGCACGGGTTGCGCGCAGACTTGCTGTGCCTAGAGGGCCTAGATATCAGATGGCTCGAAAGGTGTAAACCCTGAGCGCAAGGCCTCGTTGCGTTTGCACATCGAGCTCTCTGCCTTGCCCCTGACTCGCAGGGCTTCGACTTCGCCGCGAGCGTCCTTCAGAGCCTCCGGTGGGATTTGGTCGTCGTTTCAAGGTTCGGTTTAGGGTTTAGGGTTTAGGGTTTCAAGGTTTCAGCTGGTGTAGGACTGAGAGTGTTGGCACTCGTCTGCTGGTCTGCTTACTCTGTTGTGTTCATGGGTGTGTGTGTGTGTGTGTGTGTGTGTGTTTGTGTGTGTGAACCTCCCTAGCACATGGGGCCAGAGGGTCACTCCTACACAGTTTCATGGGGTTGCAGGGGGGCGGAGGGAGTGTGGGGGTGCTCCGCCCAACGAAGCTGCC